GAACTGTTGTCTCCCCTTGGCTGGGGCAGGGCCGGAAAGGTGCAACAGCTTCATTGCTCACCGCAGGTGCGGGCCCTCTGGGTGAGATGGATGTGTTTATTTAGAGACTTTAGTTCCCATACTTTTTTACAGCTACGGTATGTGACCTGTTTGAATAACTTGTCTCTTATCTGGGGAGTAGTTATAATTTATTTTACAGACTGCCCGGAAGCAGAAGGTCTCACTTGGAAGTGTAAAATCAAGTCAGTGCTTGATCCCAGGACTCTCAGATGCGCCACTGCACTTCTTGACAAAGGACACCTCTTCTCACAGCATTTTAAATGACAAGTCAGAACCCTCTGTGGTTCTGTTTGGTATATTAATCAAATTTTAAAATGAGAACATTTGGCTGAGTGATTAAAAGAAACACTTCCAGGGGTCACATTGGGGTGTTCAGGAGTTAAGATGTCTGTTTCTGGTGCTGGCCTTGCTTTCACTTGGAATAACAGTTTTGGTAAAGACTGGTCAGAGTTGTCAGTTGACCCACTTGTCCTTGTCTGTACAAAAGTTTGTGATGATTTCAGTCAGTGTTTTCTTCTGTAAGTAGGTGTCACAGAGTGGCTTGTCCTCATGATCACTCACCTGAGTGGTCACACTGTTCGCCATTGCTAGCTTAATTGGTAACAAAGCACGTAAACACAATTAAATTTCCTACTGAAGGTAAATGTTACAAAGAAATTCCCAAATTTGGGAGTTGAGGGTTTGGGAAGAAGGCTAAGGAGGACAGCACTGATTGATAAAACATTAAATATTTGAATGTTTTGGGCATTGTTTTAATGGTGTTAAAATAACTTAAACATTGCAATATATTTATAAAATGTGTGTTTATAATTTTATGAAACTTGTGTCAGTTTCGCTGGTTCAGATAAGTTACTTGTGATGTGGAAGTAAACTGCATGCATGTTCTTTTTCTGCAAGTTTCTTTTTATAGTATAAGAACAGAATAATTTAAAGAAAATGTCATTTTTGAAGCATTTTAGTTCTTGTGTTTAAAACTACTGCAAGTTGAATGAGCATGCTTTCATATACAAATGTCTAGGCAATAGACAGCCTTGAAGTTGTGAAATTGCAGTTTCAAGGTATGTTGTGGAGTACCCTTTGTTTCTAATTGTGAGTTAGGATCCCTTTGTACTACGTGGGCACATGCAGTTGTTTGTTCAGTGTTAACACTATGCCCATCAATAAATGGTGGACAATTAAATATGATCCTTGCCCCATATAAACAGTGTTCATTTAGGCTAGATGATCACTGTGCAGCACTTGCCCGAATGAAGAAAGCCAGAGGTGTCACACATGTCTGTATGACTAGTCAAGGAAAATTCTTGGTTGAAGTTGTTAACTACACTTTTAAAACCCAGTAAAAAAGTGTAGAATGTACAGGAATGTTATATGCAACTCTTTTTGAAAAGGACTGCTATCCAGAGTCAGTAGTGGTAACAAATGGGAAAGAATGTGTACAGGCTGAAAAGCCCAGGAGTAAGTGGTTGTTTGGCCAAAATAAATTTAAATTTGGCATTTAAATGTTTTTGGTCAGTTAAAGGTTTAACTGTAGGAACTAATGTTTTGGATTTAGTTTTTGGATTTTTGAGGGGAGGGAAAGACTTTAAAATACGGAGATAACAGCACCCCAGTGGGTTGTTTTTAGGGGGAAAAAAAGCTCTAATGATTGGTAACGTAGTATGAAATAGGTCTTGGAAAAATAAGTGGAGTGTTAATTTGATGGCATTGCAGGGTAACAGTTGACAAAGTGAGATAGTTTTGGCTTTGAAGATGCAGATTAAAGTTTAAATATTCTCTAAAGATGTGATGCAGGGCTGAAAAGTGAAATGGCTATGTCGGCTGAACATTTAAATATATTTGGGATGGAAGGAAGGTGATTTGTCTGTTGGACAGCATGTGTGGGCTCATTGGTCATTTATAATTTTTAGGCTCTTGGGAAATACTGGCTTGAATCATAAAAGTAAAGTATTCATATGTACTTTTGTGACCAGATACTTGTGTTGGTGCAGCTAAACTTTCTAAGGATGAAGCTAAAGGCTCTTTTGGTGGTAAGTTTCACAAATATAAACTGGAAAGTATTCAAGTGGTGGTCTGTGAGGTCTCTGCAAGTGATTCACAGCTTTATATTGCTTCACAAATTCCTGTGCTATGTAGTCTGCATCAACTCACTTCTGACTCTAGAATGGCTGTATTGAAACATAGAAGTTCAAGGTGTTGGTGCTAGTGATGATGAGGGACTTCGACAGCTTATATTTGCTCATTAGTCCATTGATACAGTTAAGACAGTGGTTCCCAAACTCTCATATAAAAACAGAACAACAGCAAATGCATTGAATGTTAAGTAAAATCATCTTACTTAAGGGGCGGCTACAAAGAGGATGGAGGCCCTCTCTGCACAAGGAGCCACAGGGAGAAGACAAGGGGCAACGGCTATGAGTTGCACCAGGAGAGGCTTCACTCAGTATAAGAAAGACATTTTTTTTTTTTACAGTGCAAACAATCAGTCACTGGAACAGCCTCCTCAGGGGCATCGCTAGCGGTTTTCAAGATGTGATTGGACAGGGTGCTGGATAATCTATCTCATCCAGGCTCCCTTTCCCACAAAAGGTTGGACCAGATGGTCTTTTGAGGTCCCTTCAAACCTGGACTGTTCTATGATTTAGTGATCATCTGCTTATAGTGTGATGTAAAAACTGTGTTTAGATGCTGATTTTTTTTCTTGATATTTAAAATCTAGATGTAAATTGATTGCAATAATCTCATTTAGGGAGAAATGATTGCAGGCTGAACAACAAACCATCACTAACACAAAGCAAGGAGTAATCTTGATTTTCAGCCATACTGAAGTAAGGGAAAACTATTTTAAGTTTTCTTCCTTTCAGGTTAATTCACTTCTCATGAACTTAAGTGGTATAGAAGACTTTGAGTGTAGATATCCTTGGGGTGTAAATCAGGACAGGGGATGGGGCAGAGGAGGAGCTGAAGAGGGCCCTATCTATACGTGTCTACCCCATATTCCTACTGGAAGTCCTGTACCAAGAGTAACTGAATGGATGTTTCTTAACCTCTGAGCCTGTTATGTTATTCCTCCAGTTTGAATTTAAGATGTCATCAGTTTAATTTCATTTTAACTAATCTGAGGGCTGCTGCTGTGCTCTCAGTGATGTAGCAGCTTTAAAAACCTCTTCTGAAATGGTTGGTAAAAATTGGAAAAAGCTTACACTGCTAGCACAGCAAGCACCTCCATCCAGCTCAAAGATGTAGTAAAAATTCTCCAGTCTGACAAATTCAATTGAGTTTGTTGTGCTTCAGGCTGTTTGACAGCAGCCTGGAGACAGGAAGTGGAAATAGATTTTGCGTTTGTGCCTATGTGAAAGCGGCTGTAGTGCTGGCTGAGTTCGCACTGCGGGTACTGCATCCTACTTTCTTAGATGGACTAATGCAACTGGTTACTGTAACTTAGAGCTGTATTGGCATATGCACACACTAAAACTCCTCTAAGTGTCAAAGTCCTCTAGAGTTTACAATTCATGAAATAGAAATATATTACCATGGGCTATTGTACCAGCTACGGACTAGTGCCAAGAAACATCACTACTTGAATGAGTTTGTGGCAGGCAGATTTGATTTAAAACATACCAATGTTTAATATCTTTATGCTGCTTTGACAAGCTTTCATTGAAAATCACATTCTTCAGAATGTTCTTTCAGGTCATCTAAATTAAACATAGTCTTTTTTTTTTTTTTTTCTTTTCTTCACAAAGGCAAACCATGCTTTATTACATCAAATACTAGGCCTCAGATTTTAGGTCACATAGAACTTGTTGTCCAGAATAATTTATGATGATGATTGTTACTGCCTTGATGAAAAAAAACTCCAAATAATGTGGCTGGTCCTGTGTTCTGTGCTGTTTTAATGCAGCCTGAATTTTAGCTATAAGGTTTGGTGGCTGTGAAAGATGCTGGAAAGTTTCTGGAGAGTTGCAGTTTCTCATCAGTGTCCAAAGCCATTTGGGAACTGAGTTCATCTGGATTTCATTTAAACTTTTGGCCTTCATTCACTGTTCAGTGTGTTTGTGAGGCAAGGACTATGACACTTCTAAAATGTTTTTCCAAAGCAAATATATTTTCAAATCCAAGCAGACTTTGGAAATGTTTTCTTTTTGTGGCTTAGTGGTTCTGGCTTTGGATGTAGTTTCTTAAGGAAAAAAAAAAAATAGTAGTACTCTCTCTTTCAAGCAGTGGTTAGAGAACTTAAGTTCCTAAGTTCCAGGCAGGATATCATAATTAGTTCTCTTCTTGCTTATTGCTAGTGACTTGCTTTGCATCATGACAAACTAAAAAAAAAAGTTGGTTTTGAGAATGTAAAAAGAACATATCTCCTGTAGAAATTAATTTTTCTGTGTTATGTCTTTGAGGAAGCTAAACTCTATCCTATAGGAGTAATTTGGAAAGAAAACATGAAATACACTAGTTGAGGGACATGTTATGTAGTTGTTACATTGTTGTAAATACTTAGTCACTGAATACTTAAGGCTGCTATGAGTAATTGTTTACCAGTATAAAGACTCCATGATGTCTATCCCTGAATATATAAACTAAACTGTGTTTGAGTGTGGTATATTTGTGCATGTGTGTTCTTGTGCATAATGCAGCAGTAGGAGTGAATGTGATTTTTATGATGGGGTAGAGAGCTTGATTATCTATAGAAAATGAGACTGGATTCGTAGTGTGCTTCATAACATGTTAGGCTTGTATCACAGACTTGGGTTCAGAAGTTCCTGTTGACCTTGTGCTTTCACTGCTAGATGTTATCACAGTTTGTTACCAGAAGTTTTCATTAAGCTGGTGTTAATAGCACAGTTTTGTTGCCAATCTGTGTTCTAGACATGGCTGTTCCTTGTGAAACCTGTTATTCTGTATTGCCATAGCAAGAGGTACTGAAATTCAGTTCACTATCGGGCAGAAACAGGTCTGTTTTTAAATGATATACTCAGTTCCTGAAAATCGAGGCTTTACAATACCTGTGTGTTGTGTAGCCTTTTGCAATGAAATATGAAGGAAAAATATTCTGTAGAAATAAACTATTACAAAAACATAAGCTGTTTTTATTCTGGAGACTTGTGCTTGAAATGCTGTCAAGCTGTCATGTTGAGTGTTTTAAATATGGTACCAGGGAATGGGAGCAATCAAGATGGACTTGTTACATTCAGCATTGTATCTAAGCATAGAGAAGTGGTGTTTTTTCATGTGGTAAATAACTTTTTTCTCTAGTTTTCTTTTTCCTTTTTTTTTTAGTAGCTCCCTTACCTGTTCTGCCCAAAAGCAGTGCAGCTTAGTTATTTTTTTAAAAGACCTGTTGGGTAAACAGTGCATAATACTTTTTTCTGTCCCTTGAACTATGGGATCATTGTGGCACATCCATCTTGTTTTGGATAAGGAGAAGTCTTCGATACGTTTTCAATGCCTAGATCTAATAGTATGTTTGATAGTTATGACAGTGTAATATTGAAGCAAGCCCAAACACAACATTTTGAGCTGTTAAGGTTTGAAACAGCATGTAGTTAGTGTTCCAGAAAGCATGCAGGTGTATTTCTTGTAAGACAAATGATGCAGGCATCAAATGTTTTTCCTAGTCTAGAAGTCTTGGCCATCTCATTGCAGTAAAATATTTCATCTTAGCAACAGTTGCTGTGTAGGACTACCTTTTTAGGCTATGTTGGTAACATTTAATATGTTAAGAGCTCTGCAGTGTTCCTGCT